CTTCACAGGTTAGTACTGGACACAGAGAGAGAGAGAGTTCTTCTTCTTCCTCTTCTAAGTCCACCTTCTCTTCTCACCCTCTCGCCACCTGACTTCTCAGACTACGACAGAGAGAGACAGAGTTGTGACTTGAGACTTGGCGACATCGGATCCAGACTTTACATTTGGGACTCAGACAGTTCGACGAGGGACTATTTGGGCTTGTGCCGAAGACTTGGTGTTGACGACATTCCCATCTTCCCCCTCCTCTTCGTCTATCCCCTTCCTCTTCGTCTGTGTATGGTACGGGCTGGCGCTGTCTTCCTGTGTGAAGCGCCAAGCCCATTCACACCATGTAACGATGATGATGATGTATGTTCAGGGCTGCATTACAACATTGATTGTTCGGATCACTGGTATCCAAGTCTTCCGTTGTGCTATCTTATACTTTGTATTGAAAGGTCGGTTCTTGTTCTGGTTTGCACGTTACAGTATGCAACAGCAGATCAGCAGGCCTGACACGTCAGCAATAGAGCGTGTCAGCACGACTCAGCGGGGATCCTTGTGCACAGACAGGATCAAGCCCCATGAGGGCTATAGAAAAAAGAGGACAGCGAGCAAGCAACATTACGCAGTGTGGCACTTGAGGGCCAGGCCCCATTCATGCCAAGAGAGGACGAACCTGGGCAGTTTTACGACCACGTTCATGTTCCCTTCATATAAACATGACACCGATGGGGCCCCAATGCCCACTGCCTTCCACATACATTATCCAGAGAAGATGAAAAACATAAGACAGTCACTGACAATTTCTTCAATCCTTTCCATTGCTTTCCTTTTTTCTTCCCCCCCCTCCTCAAATCACAAGCAGGACTTCAACATTCAAAACTACTATCAGGGGCAGAAGTCCCACTAGCAACGCCGAGTTTCCTCAGTGCCCGAATCTGGACATGTTTGTGGAGATGCGCAGAAAATCGTGTTGAGTTTCTTCAACTGCACATCCCCCCAAACACGTCCAGATTCGGGCACTGAGTAAACTCGACACTGCTAGTCCGACTTGGACCCGGGGGAAAATAAGAGACATGCATGCTCGACTGCAAAGAGAAAGAGGGATAGGTGTAGAGACCGACCCCTCCTCCCCCCAGGTAAAAGGAAAAAGACCCTTCAATTCATTATTCATACCTCCAAATTGGAAATAGTGACCCCTGCTGCAATAGAGACGACCAGCGGCAGCTTCTTCTTGGCATCCCTCAAGGTGGTCAAGACAGATTTGACTGCAGTCACAGTTCACATTGTAATTTCAATTATTAATTTATTATTTAATAAAAGCATTTATCAATTTTATCTTGAAAGCTGAAAATTTCATAACAAATATTGGCATTCCTTGTTTGGTCGAAGCACAGAAAGATTGCGAGAGCAGCCGACCCCCTCCCCTCCCTCACTGGAGGGTAATCAGTCAGGGGGGTTGGCTGCTCCGGGAGCAGGATGCTGTCATTAGCAGGTGACGCTTCCCTCCCCGCCAATAGACCAGTCGGAGGGTAACCAAGGGGTTGGCTGTTATCATGAGGGTAATTATGAAGTTGGCTGCTCGGGGAGGGGGTTGCTGTTATCAGCAGCTCTATCTGCTGAAAATAGCTACCGAGTTATATAAAAAGGGACGCTGCACCCAGTTTCCAGCAGGTGATGCTCCCCACCAATAGACCAGATGTGACCCCGGTCCTACTACTAGCGGGTGCTGTTATCCTCCGGAGTACCACACATCCTTCCTGCAGTTAAAAAAAAAAAAAAAGACTGACCGAAAGACTTTACTGCGGGTGCATTTCTTTTCTTTTTTTTTTTCCTGCAGTCATAGTTGAATCACATTGCATTGTCTCTTGAGAACCGGAAGCAACCTTATCAGTTGGACCCTTTTTCTTTTTTTTTCTTTTTTTTTCTTTTTTTTTCTTTTTTTTTTCTTTTTCTTTCTCTTCCCCTGAATGGAGCGTGTGGTCGTTGTCATTGTATTCATAGACGGAACGTTCCCCCCAATCCAGGCATAATGACTCTACGACATACGTTCTATTCGGGGGGAAGATGATACCGAGTCTACCGACATCATACGGCAGCACGACTAATCATTTGAATTTATTTTTTTTTCAGGGGTAATTCCAGAAATAGCGCGTTTTCGAAGTTGTGCAGCACAAATGTTGTCCGGGTCCGAAAGATCTATTTATTTAACATTTGACAAGGAAAGTGGGACCCATCTTCAAATTATATTTTTTCGCTGTGAGACTACGGGGACCTCTAAAGCTGCAACGAAAGATATATTTTTGCAACAGAAGTTGGGCCCCGGCAATATTTTTGCCGTGAAACTACCGCAACGCGCTATTTTTTGAACTCACCCAAAATTTAATGAAATGTTTTTTTTCCAAAGTTGCAAACTTCGAGATTAGCATCCCAAAATATTTTTTTATTTTTTATTTTTTTGGGCCACTTTCGCAGTTTTAAAGATTGGAAAACTTTTTAATGTAAAAAAAATAATCTTACGGGCTTGTTTTCTATCTGAAAGAAAATGGACGCAGCTACAGGATGGAAATTTCAATTTTGTTTTTTTCATTAAAAAAAAAGAAAAAAAAGAAAAGGAACTTTGTCAGATTGTCTATTACATCAGGGAGGGGTTGATATAATTTGATGGTCTTCGTGTGATTTTTTCCTTTTTTTTATCCCAATGGTTTTCGTGTGAATTTGGTGTTAGACAGTCTCCTTCCGCTACCTGCAATGTGCCTCTTCATCATAAACTTAACAAAAAAAATCCTTTTATGTTCGTTAATATCTTTTTTCTTTCCAAAAAGAAAATGTCTTTATTACGGGCCCAGTGCCCAGGGCTAAAAAACAACAGAGATGTTATTAAATTGTCATGGAGAGGAAAATTCAGGTGCCACAAGGCCTCCAGCCCTTCACCTCAGGCGGGGCCTCTCTCCTGTAGAAAAAAACAACAAGAAAATGCAATAGCTAAACACAATACCACAATCTTATAGAAAGGCACCAAGTAATCAACCTCCTTTCAAAAAAAAAAAGCCCAGGTTGAGTACGAAGTCTAGGTCGACAGGTGCTGTCTGATTGTAATCTGGGCGCCGAGCGCCATATAGGAGAGCGACATTGTGGAGATTGGTGTTGGCGGCAAGACGCTTTCGGTGCTTTCCTCTTCGCTAATTTGGTGTATCTGGTGGTGCAATCTGCTTTCAGTTCGTGCACAAATTTATCTGGATTTCTATGGAATGCTGCAATGCCGTTCCTGTCTTTGGGCCTGAGCGCAGCTACTACCGTCTTCACCCGAATAGAACGCCCGCCGCCCGGTAATTATAGCCGTATTTGGTGCACTTTTCAGTCCAAATACAGCTATAATGACCGGGCATTCTACTCCGGTGAAGAGGGTGGCGTCGCCCAGAGCCAGACAGAACAAAAGAGAGCGAGGCTCACTCATTTCAACACATTCCAAGTTGGCTGGACAGTGGCAGCACTGCTGGAGCACTGGCTTGCTGGATGAGAGTCGGGCAGAGTGGGGAATGCCGATGGCGGGGTTCAAGGAAGAAGCTGCATGGACGCAGCAGGAGCGCCGCAGCCATAGTCGGGCCGCTGGCGCCATAGCCGGGCTGCTGGCGCCGTAGCCGGGCCGCTGGCGCCATAGCCGGGCTCTTGAACTCGGGCTGGCTGCTACGGGGTTCCTCGTAATACTGTAACAATAATAAAAACGCCTGAAAGACTCTCCTGTCCAGATTTGACAGGTAATTGAATTGGTTGAGCTTATAAGAATTAAGTTCAATTAACCTTAAAAAAAAAAAAAAAAAAAAAAAAGGGTTTCCCAAAAAAATAAAATATAAAAAGGGCTGTGTAGGAAGGCTCACCAACATGGGGCTTCACTGCAACAAACAGCACATCTGAACGCTCCGCCACCTTAAGGGAAAAAAAAAAAAAAAAAAAAGGAGAAAATGAGG